TGCTAGACTTGGACCAGTTATCATCTCAGCTAAATGCCATCCACCACCATCAAATAGCTTTCAGATATTTTATCTTCAATAAAACTGAATACTCACCCACGCTTACAGTTAGGTAGGAACCTACATTCCTTCTCTGGAAATACATGGCAACTTAGAAGCCGTGAAATCCAAACATAAAACACTGGACTACCTCTAAGACTAGGAAAATGCCTGTTTTATTATAAACATAACAACAAAAATAATTTTCCCCCATTAAACAGATCAAGCCAAAGATCACCGTATTTTAAACAGTCCTCATTTCTGGCCACATCAAAAGCAAACTCCCTCCAAAGAACCCTTTTGAAACTTCAATACCATTAGCCCATCTGGATCCCATGACAGGATTCTGGTATTTTAGAATGTACATCAAATTACTATTTTTGGAGGGACAGGAGTGCTGGATAATGTGCATGTAATTATGATCCAGGGAAATGCAGGCAAGAATAGCCTACATTGTGCTAGGGGAAGTGACATAATTATTCTGCTGAACTTATTCCTCCATCTCTTTAATCACCCCTCATCCCCACTGGAAAAATTGCACTGTTGGAAAACCAGCAATACTGGCAAGCATGCTCACTGCAATATAGCAAATGATAAAAAGCAAAATATAATTGTTAAAAAAGGAAACCAGCAACTCTGGGAGATGTTACACCCAAACAATACAGACTATGCAAGATCTTTAGGGTTTATCTTAAGTTTTGGTCCAAACTGCAGCAATCCTGCGGGCTCCCCATGGGCACCCATCTCCGGTTCTGTATCTCATTGGCCAGGATCTTCCTACGGGGCTCTCTTCACTCTCCCTCAATGGCACTTCTGTTGGGCCCATCCTACTCAGAGACCTTGAGCTACAAGGTACCCCTGCTCTGAGTTATTAACTTGGCCATGCTCCATTCCCTAGTCTGCAAAACTGAAATGATAATACCAAGTCATTCATTTGTCCATTCCACAAATAGTTGCAGGGTATTCCAGCCCTGTGCTATGTGTGGGGAGACAGTGGTCTGTGAGAAAGGGGTGGTGCTTGCTCTCACGGGGTGTACTCCCTGATCTGGGAGACAGGCAGTTCAACAAATAATACCAAGCAAGCATGGTAAAGGCTGTGATAGAGAAATTATTAAAAGTTTGGAGAAGCACTGAATCTCATCCACAGCATCATAAAAGGTGTCCCAGACTAAGTGAGCTGTGGGATGAGATGCAAAGTTTGATAAGTGGGAATTTGTTAAACAAAGAGATGCAGAAGCATGTGTGGCAATCCAGCAGCAGGAGCAGTCTTGTGATGGGAGAACAGACAGGGTTCTAGAAGGGCTGGAGCAGGCCTGCAAGAGGGGAATGCAAGAAGTGAAACAGGAGACCAAGGACTAAAGCGACGAAGAGTCTTGCAAATATTGTAAGAGTCTGGATTGTAGCAAGGGGCAATGGGAATGCATGATGCTTTTAAGCAGGGAAGTCACACCATCTGATTTGTGTCTTAGAAGGATCCTGTAGGCCACTGTGTGCAGAAGGGACTCAAGTGGGACAGTGGGTGGCAGGTAGACCAGTTACAAAACTGTTCGAGAAATCCAGGTAAAAGACGACACTGGCTTTGTCCTAGATTGAGTTGCCTTGAAAGCAGAGTGTGAGGTACAAATTGTCTGCAGATGGTTTATTTGGGATGTAATTCCTGGGTCCCAGAGTAAGACAATGGGAAATAATGAGATCAGAAAGGGAGGGGGAAAAATCAATAAAAGCTGTTTTAATGAGCGAGCTGCTGCTATGTTCTGCTAGAGCTCTTTCCTGCGGGGCCCCGCTGAGGAGTGGAGTGGAGCAGCGGCTCGCAAAGTGTGTCTCTGCGCCAGCCCTCACGGCGTCACCTGGGAGCTCATTAGAAACGCAGGATCTTGGATCCCACCACGGACCTACTGAGTCAGAACTTCTGGGGACAGGGTTCAGCAACGTGTATTTTAATCAGCGCTTCAGGCCATTCCGATGCCCCGTATTGTTCAAGAAGCACAGCATAGAACGTGCCTCGGAGTTGTCCCCACTGGGTTGGAGGATAGGGAGGCAGAACACTTATACCCTGACTTCCGTTACTCACTGACGGACAGTTGTTTTCCGCATGTCAGGGCTGCCCCAGTGGGGGCGGGTGAAGGGTCATGACTTCTGAGAAGGGCTGGGGCAGTGAGGAGACTCCTGCCCTCAGGGCAGTATCCTGGTGAAGTGCCTGGAGCTGTCCGCCCCGTGGTGCTGAAACCAGATGGACAGAGGGGATGTGGCGCTTCCCCACACATCCAGACCATTGTGACTAGGGAGTGGCAGTGGAGATGAAGAAAATGCGAGGATGTGTGATACATTTTCAAGGAATAATCAGCACCTGATACAAGGAGATAAAAGAGGGGGGATATGAAGGATAATGCACAGTTTTCTTTCTTGAGGACCTTGCTGGATGGTGGTGACAGGAATGGGTACCATTTTGGAGGCAAGAGTTCAAGGTATCTGTGAAATATCTATTGATCAGTGGGATATGGTGGTCTATGCATCAAGAAAGGAAAAGACAATCTTCATGATGAGAGTGGGCAATAGCTCAGAAGATGTGTTGAGTAAGATGTGAAAACTGAGATGAAACCCTGAGATGCAGGAGTGAGTAACAGTGGGGAATAGTCTTTTCAATAAACCAGTGAAATAATTATCTTGAGAAGAATAGTGGGAGGGGTCAAGTGAGGTGACTCTGAGAACCTGAAACACACTGAGTACTCAGTAAATGTTACCTTTTACTGATGGATGACTACTTGGGGAACTCCTGATTTTCTCAGAACAATTTCTTGGACTGTCACTTTGTAGGAAAAAATGTATGGGTCAGGCAATAGTCCTTTTAAAAAGGTCTTCACTTCTTTTAATAAATCATTGTTTATAAAAAAACAAACAAAAAAAAACATTGGGAACTCCATTGTCCCTAGAGATGTTGGCCATTTGGAGTGCTCAGAGCATATGAGAATGGATGTCACTAGTTGCATTTTAAACATTGAGTCCTCATTCAGACACTCTTCCTGCTCTAGAGTTTCAATCTTATCTGGTGCTACTGCCATCTTAAAGTTATGAAAACCCCCAAAGGCATATTATTTATCTTCACATTAGGCTCTGGGTGGGCAAAGACAATTTATTTAAAAACTTAGCATGGTGTGGTGGCACACACCTGTATTCCCAGCTACTCAGGAGACTGAAGCAGGAGGATTGCTTGAGCTCAGGAGTTTCAGTCTACAGTGAGCTATGCTGATGCCACTGCACTCCATCCTGGGTAACAGAGCAAGATCCTGTCTCTAAAAAAAGAAAGAAAGAAAGAAACGTAATACAACCTCTACAACCTCTCTCTCGGATCCACTGGACGATTACTTGCTCAATTCTTTTGTAACTATTATAACTCACAAGTTCACTTTCATGAAAGGACCCTATGTATTTGCTGTTATATGATAAGAAACTACTTAGGTAGTGAATGTTTAAATTGATGACAATCTTCTATCAATGTTTAAAGGAAATGTATATGATGTGCCTTATTCATGCATTTAGTAATATAGAATTTTCCTCAAGATTATCTCAAGTTGCATAATATATGAACTTAAGGTCAAATAACTGAGCTATTAATTTCTTTGTCATAAAAATTAAGAATCTCAAGTTTCTTTCTTAGGTTTTCTTGTGACTGTGGATCAGTGTGGGTGTTGGAAGAGAGAATTCCAGTCTGAGATCAAAGGGGTTGTGCATAGGGAATCCACTGGATACTCCTTCCAGTATATGAAACAATTTTCAGTAATAATATAGTAGAATTATTCTACTAATTTAAGAGCCATTGTCATCTGTTATTACCATATACATTACATATTATGGTATATGTTATTACCATATACATATACATTACACTATGTTAATGGTTATTTACCATATAAACCTCCTTGATCAGTTTTTAAGTGACATTTCTTTGGATTAGAACCAAATTGAGGGGAGAGAGTCACAGATCAATTATAATTAGACATTCTTCCAGAGGAAATGCAAGAGTTTGGATACCCTATCCATTTGACAAGGGACTTCTTGCTCTTAGCAGAATTTGAGCCAAATAGAATATAGAATGTGGACAACTGCACACTTGCCTTCCACCCTGGGGAAAATGATTTTTGTATGATGTCTTAAACTTTGCAATCTACCCTGGAGGTTGATTGATCATTTTTATTAGAAAATTATACTCTATATAATCTCTAACATTTTTCTTTGAAATAACTTCTTCACCATGAGACAATCATTCATTATTATCATATTTTATATATATTTACATTTTATTAAATATATTTGTCCCAGAATGCCATCTACATGAAGTAAAATTGTTTACTAGTTAAGCAAAATCCCAGAGACCTATTGGCTTTGTAAGTTATTTATTTCATTTGCAAGTTGGGTACTTTGTTCATTAAGGATATGTGAAAGGTAGACATACTGCATTTACTAAATTAACCAACCTTCCTACAGCACTTAATAACTTCCAGCCATGGTTCTGAGAACTTTTCTAACCTTAATTCATTTGATCTTCATAACAATCCTTTAAAATGGGTGCTGTAATTATCCCTAATTTTCAGATAAGGAAATCGAGGCCAAGAGACCTTTGATAATTTGCACAAAATCATCCAACAGGAAGCAGCAGAGCCGGGGATCAAATCGAGGTGTTCAGCCCTTGGCTCTATGCTGGCAGCCTCTCCATGTGTAAAGCCCCCTACAAAAAGCTAGGCCAGAAAATTAAAAGCAATTTCTTTTAAAAGCTCATTAATAAGAATCAGAAACATTTCTAGCCCTGAGATCTGTGCTAAACTGCAAGTAATGTTTTTATTTTCCCAACATATATGAAACATTCTTTGTATTTTAATGTTCATTAATGTTATCCAATTTCTTAAAATCCTACCTTTGTTCAGTCTTGGTCTTGTCTGAATTACTGGTGACGTTTCTCTTTTCAGTTCCTCCGAAGTTTGTGGTTCAGCCGCGGGACCAGGACGGGATTTACGGCAAAGCCGTCATTCTCAACTGCTCGGCTGAGGGCTATCCTGTGCCTACCATCGTGTGGAAATTCTCTAAAGGTGTGACATTCCTTGATTTGCTTCTTGGCTGCCAAACCTGCGTTATGTTCTGAAAGGTTGGATGAGCATTTCTAGTCTTTCCAGAGACGTTCCTTGCAAGTAGATTTATGTTCCTGTCTCCACCAAGCCCATCACCCTCTCACAGACACCCCTAGTCACCTGTCTAGATGTTTTTATTTAGGCCAACAAAGTGTCTGTTCTCACACAACTTTCCCTAGGAAGGACCGGGAAGGGGAGGCAGGCTACCCATGCAGGTGAATTTCGCACTTGGGAAAGTACTAACCTGCTCACCGTATCCGATAACCGTGGTCTGCTTAGAGACCCCTGCAGACCTGTACATGCGGAGATGCAAGTTTAAATCGTCAGAATTATTTGTGATTGAAGAATCATTTCCTCAGTATTTAGATATATGAGATTAGGTGGTTTTAGAAAGTTAAAAATAAAATCACTGAGTGTTGTATGTCCCTGATCACCTTAGAACATGCAAGTCATGTGCCATCCGCTTACCCTCTTTTAAAAACAAACACACCCAATTTCCTATTGTGAGCGTCCAGTGTTCCTTGATGCTACTCCTAAGCATGCTTCCTGGCTTTTAGGTAACACTGCAGACATCACATTAAGTAGAAGTGTGTAACATGCAACTAGCGGTGGAACCATTGTAGTCCCTGGAAAAATAATTTATGTTCATCATATTGGCTTCTTCAGAAAAGTTCCTTAATTGTGCCTGCAAACATATTGGAAGTTCTCTTTCTTTTCTCATGCAGCCATCTGAAATCAATGATTTATTTATCAAACACTTGAGGGCCAAATATATACCAGTGAGATCAATCAACCAATCTATCATGGTCCTTTTTTTCCAACAATCTAAGACCTACTATCTAGGTTTCTATTTCTCCTTTGGCAAATTTCTTATTCACGTTACTTGAACACTCATCTCTAGTTGTGGGTGTATGTGTGTTTTTGTTAACCCATCGTGGCTTGTAGTCTGTATATATTTTTAAAGTAACATGTTGAATTTTCTCAGTTTAAAATTAACAATTGAAGGAAAATAAATGGTTCACTTGCCACAACCCTTCTGGCATCTATTTTTTGAGAAAGAAGGAAAAAAGGGGAGGAAGAGGGTGCCAGACCACTGTTTGATCAGGAGAACAATTAAATCTTTAAGAAATCCCTGAAGCAGCTCCCTATAGCACCCCACATCCAAGGCCCACATGAAAAGCACCTTGTTCACAAATAAAAGCCTGTTACTCAGCGTCTCTGCCCCCCATGACTTGTTATTTTAGGCCGTATTTGAAGCCCCATGTTGCATTATTACATGGAAACAGATAAGCAGAATTAGTTCAATTCATGTATATCAATGAGCATATTTGATATTATGGACATTTTCCATGACATTATTCTTCTTCAAAATTATTTTTTTCAATGCCTGCCATCATGCAGATGTTCATGCTCTGTCTCTTAAGTTGTGTCCCGTTTTTCATGGTGGTGAAAAACAGTGCAGCAAAGAACATCCCTGTATGTTAACTCAATGTGTACAATTGCTTTCTTGCAAATTCCTAGGCGGGAAAGAGCGTGACCACACACAAGGCTCCCAGTCTGTAACGGGCAAGGACACTTCGGCCACCAGCAGTGTGAGGGTGTGTTATGGCCCAGCATCTGGCCAGCTACAGCTTTCTCTTTAATCTTTACAACCCGAGGGGTGAAAATGACTTACCTTTTTAATTTGCATACTTAAATTACTAATGATGAAAAGGTCTTATCTTATGTTTACAGACCATTTCTTTTTCTCCTTTGGGAAATTTCTTCTGCTACTCGCACACTTGTCTCTCTGTCTTATGTATTTATAACAGTGTTTTCATGTAGATTAATTAATCTTTAGTCTGTCTGTATGTTACTGACATTTTATCCCTTCTCATCACTGATTTTCAAATTTAAGTTACACTAGCTTTATTTATCTTTAAATTTCATGTGCTATGTCAAACCATTGAAGACAAAATTAGAAATTGCAAAAACAAAAATTTTAAAAAGTTAAATTCTTTTCAAATAACAACACTCAAAGATAACCAAAGATACTAACTCCTGCAAACATGTTTTGTCTGGCCTCTCAGGCCTGCCTCCAAGCAATTGTATCCCCATAGATACACATACTATTTTAAAAGTTTTTGATCAACTATGATTGTTCCTGGCTTATCATCTTCTTGCTTCAGTTAGCAATATGCTATTAATTTCTTTTCCCATGGCAAAATATATGGACGTTTGATATGACTTTTTAATGTCTGTGTAGAGTTTATTTTAATACAATACTAAGTACATCTATTGCCTTAGTGAAGATTGAGTTCAGCCATTTAAATTCACAAGGGTTTATTTTCTCATAAGAGGAGTCAGGACGTAGAAGGTGCAGGATTAGTTTATTGGCTCTCTTAAGTCGTCAAGGACCCAAGCTTCTTATATATTAAGAAGAGTTCTGTTACTTTCAGCAAGAGTCTCTCACCCTCAAAAGTTGGCCAGTGAGCTCTAGCAGTGACTTACTTCCACCTTTCGACAGAAGGAGGAAAAGCAAAGGGGAGAATTCCCTCTCCCACCTGGGGGAATTCTGCCTGAGTCAGCTCCCCTCACAGGCCTTTCCAGGGATTTGTCATGATCAGTTCTGCTGACATGTCCCCAAGTCCTTTCTGCTCTTAGCTGTAGCACATTTGTACGACGTGGCTTCCCCAGCCCCAGTTTTCCCTGGAGGCTCCAGAGAATCCATCTCGACGTCTTGCTTTGGCTCCATTTTCTCCTGCTGTCATTTCTGCTGTCACCACACACAGTCTCCCACAGGGCCTGGCTGTCCCTTGCCACCTGGGCCCCAGAAGAGTCCTCTCCCACCTGCAGAAATCCTCCTTGCTGGTTATCCACTCTTCACAGGGCCAAGGGGAACTTGATTATCTTGTTGAGAAATCCATAGAAATAAAACCAGACAGTCGCAACAGTTACCTTGGACATTTGCATACAAGGTGCTCAATTCCAGGATGGGCAATAAATGTTGTGCTTAAGATGCAAGGTCAAGCCACTGCATTGGCCTTCTCTGGGGTCTCCTCCTACCTTGGGAGCTTCCCCTGGAATGCTGCACCTTGGTCCCGCCCCACCTCCGCTCCCAAGGCCAAGGTGACATCCCGAAGGGACCCTTTACTGTCCTCAAAGCCTGTGTCTGGGGGTACCATGAGAAGGACGTGGAGGGGGACAAGCCTGAGGCTCTCGAGCAGGTCGATTCTGGGGCACGTGTCCTGCCAACACCCACTCCAGACCTCCTTGGTGAGATGACTCAGGCCGTTCCTTCCTCAGCACTCAAGGGGACAGATATCACCTGCTTTCCTTTCAAAAGACAAGTCTTCAAAGGGGAAAATGGTCAAGAGAAAAAATATTCCCTTAAATAAAATCTTCTTTTGTTTCCTCCTCATGGAAGCAGGGTTTCATATTAAAATAACTCAATGGGGGTAGGTTCATATGACACAGGCCTGGCGATCCTCAGTTCTCTAGACCTCGAAGGTTTTTTCGTGAGTTCTGGTCTCTTAATCCATTCTGGAATGTGTCACTCTGCTCCCAGCCCAAGGACCGAGTGTCCTCCAGGTCTTCTGGCCGAGGTATTCAGCCACGTCCACCAGCCAGTCTCTGACCTTGAGTGCCAGCTCCAGGGCCTTTGCTCAGAACGAGAGTCCCCTTCACACCCCACTCTAGAAACTGGGTCTCTGTACTGTCCTTGCACCTTGCCTTGGTCATCTCCTTGGGAACAGCCCCTCCATTCCCAGCCTCCCACCATAGGCTTCCTAGTGTGGATACCAGAACCAAACTTCTGACTGTAAACCTCACCCAGGGAGGCTGCTGCCCGCCCACCATCCCACCTCCTACTGCACCAAAGCAGTAATTTGTAGCAGTTCTCCCAAAAGCAGCTATAACCCTTGGCATCTGCTTGTGCACCAGTTTGCTTCTCTGAAGGAAAATAGTGACTTCTTTTTCCTGGCACCTCCCAAATCATGTTTAAGTGCTTCTCACTGGTAAAATGTAAACCAGAATCTGGTGAGAAAGGAGCTGGGAAACGTAGTTTTCAGGCTTCCGGTCCCTGCAATTTGGGGCAGAGTTTCGATGGAAAGTGGTATCGCTAAGGATGGACACAGAGCATCTGGCACACGATGCACACGACACAAATATTGCAGGCACGTATTGTACAGTGACAGACGCTTCTTTCTTGGGGATAGAGCATCGCTCTCCAGCCTGGAACCAGACCACTGTCTCAAACTGTGCCCCTGTCCCCGTCTGGGCCCTTCTCTGTAACAGGACACCCAGGACACTGAGCACTCCTCCATGGAGCGAGAGTTCCATTTCTAGCTGCTACGCCTTCAATAGGTGCAACTGCGGGTGCTGTTCTTACGTGCTGTCTTCTCTTCACATCTCCACCTCTGTGTTTGCACACACTGACTCCCTGCAACCCACCAACTGTTCTCAGAGAAGGAGAGCCCTCTCCCTGAAGAAGAAAAACAAACTCATCCTTTGGGAAAAGCCCACTTTCTCCATAGGGAAGAAAGGAATGTGTTCTTGATTCCTTGGTGACGAGAAAAAATAGCTACAACCCTGCCATTGGAATGCAACCCGGGAACACACAGAGCTCTCCCGCCCCCTATTTGGTGATACTTCAAATCAGTCTTATTCCACCCTGCAAGGGGGACTCTCTGAATATGCTCATTGGCCAACTCCTTCTGGTTCTTACATATAGGCATTTACACTGGTATTCATTTGATCTGGTTTCCCTTGATGTGAATGACAATCCTATATCATATGCAAATTGATTTTTCTCCTCATTTTACATATGATGAAATTAAGGAGGCATCCTCCCCAGGAGTACAATGCCTGGCATAAAAAAATAAAAAATAAATAAATTAAGGATGCAGAGAGAATAAAGCACAGATAGTTTCAGATTGCATTTGAACCCAATGCTCCTGATTCTTAGCCAAGTGCCCTCTCTA